CCTCTGGATCCTACTGGGGCTAGACTGCCATAAGACACACCTTATCTCTGCTTTCTTTATAGATCTTAGTGGTTGTGGAACTGACTTGAGTTCCGGGATTGGCCTTTAAGGGGGTATACGTGGTACTCTCCTCCGAAGGGTTATTTGTGATTAATTCATTGAAATTTCCATTGCTTGAATTGCCCTGCACAGTCATCATCATAGCCCCTATTATTTCCCCAGATTGGGAGTCATCTGTACAATTTTTTTTTAAAAGCCCATGTATCCCCAAAATATCCCCAATCCAATTATAGGCACTATAAACAACAGAAGGAAATGCCAGTATTTTCCAGAGTGACGACTGCTTTGCAATCCACATGGCCATTTTGCCCCGACTTTGTCAAGGGGCATCGACATTGATGGAATGGCTCCCAGCACTGAATCACACACACACACACACACACACACAAAGAAAGCCAGCCTACCTAATCATGAGAATTAAGTGCGAATGCACGTGTATGAAAATGAGCACTTAGTTAAAGCTCCATTCCTGTGTGCTCTTCGGCTTTGCTATTTGCAATCCCATTTCTTAGTCTTTCCATTTTGGGGGGGAGGTAATTGGTTTGTTTGTTTATTTATTTATTTATATGGACGTACTGGGAATTGATCCCAGGACCTCATGCATGCTAAGCACATGCTCTACCACTGCTATACCATCTGTGTCTCCTCATTTTAAGTGATGATGATATGGAAGTCCAGAGATGGTAAAAACCTTTTCAAGGTTACACAGCACCTTAGACATAGAAGGCGCTCAATAAATATTCATTCCTTTTTAAGAGGGGCTCTTACACCTGTCATATCATGTATTATTATGCCCACTTTTACAAAAGAGGTAACTGAGGCTCAGGGAAAATGCTAAGTTATGCCCAAAGTCACAGAAAAGTCAAAATTCCTACTCAGCTCTGCCTGCCTCCAACACTGCAAGTGACAGTCTGGGGCAAGTTCAAAGACCTTCAGTCCCTGGCCTGAAGGGAAGAGGGCAGGTATCAGTGATTCCTAAAGCTGTGTGGGTTCTGCCTCACTGTTATTCGGGTAGCAGCTGTTACCTGCAGTTCTTTCATCCAGGCTGTGTTTAAGGATTGCTCCTCGGAGCATCCTGGCCATGGCCTCAGAAGTCTTAGGTCCCAGGTCGCCTCGGTCAGATGATGTTTAATGAGTCAAGTCACCTCCCCGAGCCTCAGGCTGCAGACAGGCCAGAACCTCTGTTTGTTGATTTCCATCTTCACTCTATTTCAAAAACAATGTGGTGCAGCTTACAAAAACACATCTAGAGCATCAGTCCAATCATGAGGAAACAGAAGACAAATCTGAATTGAGAGACATTCGGCAGATGCTTGGCCATACTTCTCTCTAAGTGGCAAGGCCATAAAACACAAGGGGAGACTGAGAAACCAGGACAGACTGCAGGAGACTAAAGAGAAATAATGAAATGTCATGTGCGGTCCTGGATAGGATCTTGGAACAGAGAAAGGACATTCATGGAAAAACTGGTGAAATTTGAATAAGATCTTTAGTTAACAGTAGTGTATCAATGTTAATCTTTTTTAAAAATATATTTTTATTGAAGTATATAGTCAGTTTACAATGTTAGATTCAATGTTACTTTCTTATTTTTTTTTCAATGTTACTTTCTTAACTGATAATTCTACAAAGATTAAGTAAGATGCTAACATTAGGGGAAGCTGAGTGAGGGTCATACAGAGCCTATTATCTTTTGCAACCTTTAAGTCTAATGCTAGATAAAATAAAAAATTAAAATATTGTGTGTGTAAAAAAATCACTTTGTTATATAAACTCATCTAAGAAAAACAAACAAAAACTTTTAAGTAAAGGGTCCAGAACTGTGTAAAAAGAAACACAGCTAGTGCAACAAATAAACAGTGAGTGGGGAAAAAGTTACTGTGAAGTGAGGAATAAGAATAGAAAAAGTAAGGTGGAAGGTATAGCTCCGTGGTAGAGCACATGTTTAGCAGGCATGAGGTCCTGGGTTCAATCCCCAGTATTCTCATTAAAAAAAACCAAACCTTCTTTTTTAAAGAGAAGGAAAAATAAGATCAAGCCAAAGATAAGGCAAAGCCTGGGACAATTTCTAGAGGCCGAATTCATACTTGGCTCTGAGCTTCCTAACAGCAAACTCCAAAAAAGAAACATTAGTTACGTGATTCACAACGTGTGTTTTAGGTACTCAACAGCTGAGTTACAGGGACTGAGAGTGAAAAGCCCATGAACGCTGTGGTCCACCCCCTTCTTCACAACACACTAAACTGGTCTGACACAACTCTCTTCATACACTGCAAGCAACAGCACCCAACCCAAGCCTGAGAAGAAATGCTGCCGTGTAAATGATGCAACTATTCCTGAAAAAATAATTATGGGATATATGCTCCAAAGCTGCCCATTCCCACAGTTTGTATTGTATAGGTCACATAGTCAATCACACACACATATATATACACGTCTGTGTGTATATATATATATATATATGCACATGCAAAGAACATATTAAGATGACAATGAAGTCTAGTCACAGAGCAATTTACAGGCTCAGTATATTTTTTACACTTTGCTTGAAAGAAAATTTCAATATTTTACAGTCTTAAAAAAAATTGGGGGGGAGGTAATTATGTTTATTTATGTATGTATTTATTTTAATTTTTTAAACAGAGGTACTGATGTTTAACAGCATCCTTGACCTTCACCCATCAAGAAGACAAGGGCACCCCCTGGTTGTGACAACCAAAAAAAAAAAATCTGTAGACACTGCCAAATGCCCTCCTGGAGGGAAGGGAGCTTACTTTGAGAAACACTGATCTTCTGGAAGAATGAAGGAATGAAATATAAGTCAGGCAAGATCTGGACTAAAACAGTCCTGGACGCAAACTGCAACTTTGCCAATTATGATGTAGGGTAAATTACCTAATTTCAGCCTTATCCAGTTTCCCCATGTATATGGATATATATCGACCGAATAGGGTTTTGATAAAGATGAAAAGAAGTAAAGCTTGCAAAACACTTTGCAGAGTACCTTAGATGGTCAGCACTTATTATATGGTAGTTACCAACACTGTTCTCATAGTTGAGACTGTAAGTATTTCCTCAAGTCCTTCATTTATTCATGCAACAAATATTTATTAACTGGTGTGTGTGCCGGGTCTTTCTTAATGAGATCTACCTAAATTTTTCCTTCTCAAACCCGTATCTGGTACATACTATCAACTCCTCTATTCATCCTTTGTGAATGGCACTTTTAATGCCAGCATAATATTCCACTGCATCTATTTTGATGCCTGGCCCAGGCCTCCCTTCTGAGATCCAGATCCATACATCTACCTGGATGTCCCCCTAGGAAAGCTAAATTCAGCATGTTTGGCCAGTTAGCCTAGTGCCAAACACCTAATGTAAGCCTTCCATAAAAAGGAGCTATTACTGGCCATCAGTGTCATTTTTAGTGCCTGCTGTCTGAACTACCTCCTTTTGCAACTCAGTGGGTTCCCAGAGTCACTTTCTATCAGCGGTCTGGGCCCTGGGTTAAAGCCTTGATTTGTTGTCCCTGTGGGGAGCCCATAGGAGAATCTAGCCTGGTTTTCCCACCTACAGGGAAGAACTGAAGCAACAGAAACAAAGACACTCCCACGACAAGCCCACAGTGCCCTATACAATCATTTTGGTGAGGAGAATCTGCCAGCAAAAGGCAGGACGTAAAAGTTCCCCCACAGTGGCCTGGCAGCCTCGCTGAGTGTGCCATCAAATGATTCTTGGGTCCTGGCTGGTGTTTCTTCAGCTCCGCAGGGACCCACGGAGAAGAGCTAATTTATGCGATTAGTACAGTTATAGCAACAGAGTCTGCTGAGTGCTCCAGAACCGTAGTTCAGGGACTTGGGCTGTAAGAGGGTGGAGCAATTTAGAAACCACCACCAGGGAAGCAGAGCAGAGTCGGGGTAATAGCAGCAGCCTTTCTTTGGGTAGGACAGATCTGGGTAGAATTCCAGCTTTTCCTCTAACTAGGTGTGTGATGTCCAGCAAGTTGCTCCCTCTGGCTGAACTTCTGTTCCTGCATCTGTAGAGTGGGGCTGATGCTAATGATAGTCAACACTTGTGGAAAATTTCTTATTCAACTTGTTCTTATATGCTCAATAATTAAGTTATTTTAAAATAGGATTTTAAAAAAATACACACAAAATTATACTCCTCCACCTCACAGACACCCATTATAACCCTTGATGACACTAAAAAAATAAATACACTCTTATAACCCGAAATTAGAAATCACACATAAAATACAAAATGAAAAATGCTTTCATTTTCCAGTTTTTTCAATCCACAAAAAGAGCAATTTCATAGGATTCAACCTAGTATCTGCCAGCCACCGTTCTAAAGTTTTACAAGTATTAACTCGCTTAAATTCCTCAACAACCCCATGAGGTAAATACAAATATTACTCCCATCCCCTCGGTAATAATTAGAATTTCTCCTAAAGAGAAGCAGAAGTACTTGGGGGAGAATGCCGCTTACCTAAGCGGCCGCCACAAGTGGTTGGAAAGTTTGAGACACAAAGTACACGTAAGTAATTAAGTGTTGAACAGAATTATCCGTCAGGTGTCCGAAACACAATCCCCAAGGGCGACACACTCGGTGCGTACTTGGTCCGAAGGGCAGTCCTTCGTTGTACCGGGACCAGCCTCTCTACGTGTTTTCCCGGGAAAGGCGCGCCGGGCTCCGCCATGTCAACCAGTCTTGCTAGGGTAGGCGTACCCCTACAAACAAAAGCATTCAGAGTGACTGCCAGCTCAGCCACTCAACGCCGAGCCCAGGCCCGCGCCTCCAATTAGATCTAAACTTCCAATTGGTGAAGTGGTTCTGAAGAAGGTGGGACAGATTGGGGAAAGTCCCGCCTCCCTCGGAGTTCTCAGCCAATTGCGGGGTCTGGGCGGCAGCTGTCGGGTTCGGTTGCGCTGTGTGTAGTGATCGAGGGGCCTGAGGGCGGGGCGGGGAGCAGGCCGGGGGCTGCGGGGAGGGCACGCTTCCCGCGGGCGCGCGGAGCGAGGACGGTGACAGCCACGCGCGCACGTGCGCGCCCGGCTGCAGCGCAGCCCCGAGACCTCCGTCGGCAGCTGAGAGGCAAGCGGGGTCTGGGCCGCCGCCGTCTAGGGGCCCCGTCCCCGGGTGTCTCCGGCGTGCCCGGCCCGAGTCCCGGCGAGCCGGGCCGTGCCCGCCCCGTCGGGCCCCGATAGCAATCGCTTCCCGCGGCCGTCAGGGCGCGCCTCCCAACTACCCTTTCCGTTCCCAGGGCAGGGTCCTCGCGGCCCATGCTGGCCGCTGGGGGCCCGCGCCGCTCAGACAGCTCCAGGGCCGGCCTGCCGGCCACCATGGTGGCCCTGAGGCCTGTGCGGCTTCTCCAGGGAGGCTAAAAGGTCCAGAGCGCAGGCCTCGGGGCGCGAGGGTCCCGGGCCTGAGCCCCGCGCCGCGACATGGCCGGGGCCATCGCTTCCCGAATGAGCTTCAGCTCGCTCAAGAGGAAGCAGCCTAAGACGTTCACCGTGCGGATTGTCACCATGGACGCGGAGATGGAGTTCAATTGCGAGGTAACCGGCCGGCAGCCCCGACGGGCTGCTGCGAAGGGGAGCCCGGCGGGATCGACCCCTGGTGCGGGTCCCGCACCCACTCGGCGCCCTTGCCGCGGTGACAGTCGAGGTGGAAGCTTCGGGATTCTGTTTATATCATGTGTCGGCCAAGATAGAGACGGCCAGAACCAGAAGGGGCCATCTAGGCCCAGATCCTCATGTTAAGGACCGTCTCTGCTTTTTTAAACAGGGCTTTTGGGTTTGGAAGCACTTCCTGAAGGTTTTCATTCATTGTTACTGCAAGAGACCGAAAGCATCTGTGCTAGCGAATTCTAGTTTTCAGTGTCAAGCTTAAGCTCCAGCTCTGTAGAGTTTTAACTTTGTTAGGTAATATTATGTATCCCAGGTATTAAAAGTTTGCATCTCGGTTTGTTGGAAAGGCTGTGGTACTTGTTTCCCTTTTTTACAGCTTATATTTTCTGGGAAAAGTTCTTTGAGGAGAGATGGTGTCTCAAACTTTCTATACAGTTCCTATCATGATGATAACAGTTATCATTTATTGAATAATTCCTTAGTGTCAGACATTCATACATGTAATTCTCAGAACAGCTCAAGGAGGGAGGTAGGTACCCCAAACTATGTATCTAGTAAGTGGGGAAGGTATGTTTGTTTTTTCCTAAGTGGAGGTACTGGGGATTGAACCCAGCACCTCCTGCATGCTAAGCATGTGCTCTACTGCTGAGCTGTACCCACCCCCTATGGAAGAAGGGTTTTGATTCCAGATCTTGGACGATACAATACTGCCTCTCAAGTAATTTAAGTCTCTGCTACTTAAAGTGTGCCCTGTGGACCAGCAGCATTGGCAGTGTTACCTAAGTCAGGAGTTGCCAAACTTTCTCTGTAAAGGGCCACATAGTAAATATTTTCAGCTTTGCAGGCCTTAGGGTCTCAGTTGCAGCTACTGGACTTCCAGCTCTACACTGAAGCACAAAAACAGCCTTAGACAGTATCAACTTCCGGCATGACAGGGTGAGGAACTCCACTAATCTGGTCCCCTGTAAACTGGTAAAACTTATTTAAAAAACAAAACAAAACAATTTAAACCCTCTGGAAATAGTCCTATGGGCAAACAAACATCAAGAAACATCTACCAAAAAAAAATCTATAAAAATTGGTAAGAAAGGCGAGAGTTTGTAGTATTTGAACCAAGACCAATACCACCCTACCTGCTCTCAGCTCTGCAAGGTGGAGGTTCTGCTCTGGACAGCTGTAACCAAGTACACAGGGCTTCCTCTCCCCCAAGCTCCCAGTCAGACTGCTTCCCGGGAGGAGCATGACTTGAGGGCTTTTCCTGCCCAAGGCTACTTGCTGTTGAGGCTAAATCCTGGGTGAGTAAAGCTGAAAGGTGGGGCTTCCTTCTTCCACCCAACTTCGGCTTATGGAATGGGAGCTGTACTCTGGGCATGGCTCACCGAGAGTACTCGGGTCCCAATTGCTTTATTTCCACCCTCAGTTTGTGAGATGGTGTTTCTAGCCAGAAGAAACAAACTGAGAAGACCTTAGGCTAGTGTGTCTCCCCCTCCCCCACTTCTACCCAGGGTTCAGAGATTTTGCCTGGAGGGAGAAGCAGGCTTTAAAACCCTTAGCTCCTAATCTCTTCCCCAAAGCAGTGACTTCATTTGCAAGAATGTGAAGAACTTTATGCCTAAGGGTACTCTCAAGGAAGGTGGAGGTTTTGGTGAAAGGCAGTTGTGTGGAGGTTTGTGGATTTAATGAAGATACGGTTTAGACTGCAGGGAGAGAGTCTGGGAACAAGACAGCTGTGAAGAGCCCTCCTGGGGTCAGAACAAGTACCAAACATTGATCTCAGAAACTGTTCCCCTCAAAAGAGCCACCTTTTGAGTGGATTACTTTGTAGAGCAAGTTATACCCCAGGACATTGTAGAAAATAATAGGTAGAGTTTAACAGTTGGGTGTGATCAGGGAAAGAGAGGAAGAGTCCCACTAAGACTATTGTCATCCAGGGTGGCTGTGGGCAAACCCAAAGACTCCCTGAGGAACATAATAGGCCTTAACCCTCTGTGAGGGAAATAGATTTCACTAAAACAATCCAGTCACTGAACAAGCAAATAACAATAACAAATAAGCCCTGGAAGGCAGGGTGGGGACCAGTCCCTAGAGTTGCTGTAAATATGTTCACAGAACTGAAGGAGAGCATGATTACACCGTTTTTTAAATTAATCTTTTCTTTTCTTTTTTGCAGAGGGGAGGTAATTTGGTTTATTTATTTATTTATTTGGTTTTTCAATGGAGGTACTGGGGATTGAATCCAGGACCTCATGCATGCTAAGCATATGCTCTACCACTTGAGCTATACCCTCCTCAAGAGCGTGATTAAAGAAGTGAAGGAAGATAGAATGATATTTTTGCATCAACTGGAGAATATCAATAAATAGGATTTATAAAAAAGAACCAAATTAAAATTCTGGAGTTGGAAAATACAATAACTGATACAAAAAGTTCACTAGAGGGGTTCAAGGTAGATTCCAACTGGCAAAAGAAAGAATTAGTGTACTTAAAGATAGACTGTTAAGAGATTATGCAAGCTAAAGACGAGAGAGAAAAAGAACAATGAAGAAAAACATACAGAGTCTCAGAGAAGTGAGGATCATTCAGTGTACCAATGTATGTGTAATGGGACTACCAGAAGGAGAGGAGAGAGAGAAAATGTTTTTTAAAAAAATGACTGAAGCTTCCTAAATTAATCAGAAACAGTAACCTGTATATCCAAGAAGCTCAATGAATTCCAAGGAGGATAAACACAAAGAGATTCACAAGCAGACACATCATACTAAAAATGCTGAAAGTCAGACAAGGAGAAAATCTTGAAAGCAGCAAGAGAAAAATGACTTGGCACTTACAAGGGAACCCCAGTAAGATTAACGGCTAACTTCTCAGCAGAAACTGTGGAGGCCAGAGCCTGTGGGATAACATTCCAAGTGCTCAAAGGAAAAACTTGTCAACTAAGAATGCTGTATCCAACACAGGTGGATATAAGTGAAAAGGAGTGAAAAGGACATTTCAAAAACAAAGTTGAAATAAGGACTTTACCAGATAAACAAAAGCAGAGAATTTGTTGTTTAAAGACCCACCTTACAAGAAATACTAAAGGAAGTTCTTTAGGCCTAAAGAAGCAAGTGACCCCAGATAATAATTCAAATCCCCATAAAAAAACCCAAAGAGCAACAGTAATTATACATTTATACTGTCTTTTATAATTATATGTTTTCCTCCTTTCTTCTTTTAACTGAGTTAAAATGCAATTATATGAAATAATATGCATGTAATATACTGTTGGGCCTATACCATCAGGATGTAATATATGGGTAATATACTTGCCAATATCAGCACAAGGGAAATGGGTGAGAACAAAGCTGTAATGCGCTAAGGAAATGACTTCGGATGGTAAAGTAATAACTATAACAATGCATTGTTTGGTGTGTAACTTTAATCGATGTAGTATATAATAACTATAATACTACAAGAAAAGGGAGGGAATAGAGTTATATAAGAATAACATTTTTATATATTACTTAAATTAAGCTAGTATAAATCTAAAGCTGATTCTGGTAAGTCAGGATTACATGGTAGACTCTAGAGTAACCACTTTAAAAAGAATCTTTAATAATATAGTGGGAAAAATCATTAAAGAAATTTAAATGCTTCATTAGAAAATACTCAATGCAAATTACATACTAAAGGGGGAATAAAGAAATAAAAAAGGTATGAAATACATAGAAAACAAAAAATAAAATGGCAGTTGTATACCAAATAATTAGATAACTTAAATGAAATGGACAAATTCCTAGAAAGACACCAAAATTGACTCAAGAAGAAAGGGACAATCTGAATAGACATATAATAAGTGAAGAGAGTAAATTTGCAATAAAAATACTACCCACAGTGAAAAACCCAGGTTCCACTCGCTAGAAGCCTAGATGGTTTCACTACTGAATTCTATCAAATATGTCAAGAGCAATAAATACCAATTCTTCACAAACTTTTACCAAAAAAATAGAAGAGAAAGGACTACTTCCCAACTCAATTTTATGAGGCCATCCTTACACTGGTACCAAAACAAGACAAAGATAACACAAGAAAACAGAGACCAGTATCTCTTATGAATATGAAAGCAAAAATCCTTTAAAATGTTAGGAATCTGCAACATATAAAAAAGAAAAAACAAACCGTACACCATAACCAATTGGGATTTATTCCAGGAATTGAAGGCTGGTTTTAACATCCAAAAATCAATGTGATATATCAATAGAATAAAAAGCAAAAATTACACGATCATCTCAGTTGATGCAGACAAAACACTCGACAAAATCCAACAGCATTTCATGAAAAAAACCCTCAAAAGAAAAAAATAGAAGGGAACTTCTTCAACCTGATAAAGAGCATCTGCGAAAAGCCCAATATCACAGTTAATGGTGAAAGACTGGATGTTTACCTTCTAAGATCAGGAACAAGACAAGGATGTCCACTCTCACCATTTCTGTTCAACACTGTGCTGGAGGTTCTAGCCAGGACAATTAGGCAAGAAATTAAGGCATCTATGTTAGAAAGGAAGACATAAAACTACCTCTCTTTACACATAATACGATCTTGTAGACAGATTTTAAAGAATCTGCTAAACTGTTAGAACTAATAAACGAGTTTAGCAAGGTTGCAGGATACAAGATCAATATGCAAAAATTAATTGTCATTCTATATGCCTGCAATGAACAGTCTGAAAATGAAATTAAGTTAATTCTATTTACAATAGCATCAAAAGTACAAAATACTTAGGAGTAAATTTAACAACAGAATTGCAAAACTTAGACTCTGGAAAATTATAAAACATTTTTGAAAGATATTAAAGATGATCTAAATAAATGGAAGAAGATTCCTTGTTCATGGATCATAAGACTTAACACTGTTAAGAAACAGTATTCCCCAAATAAGTCTATACATCCAAT